GTGCATAGAGTTATTTTCCTTAAAAACATTATCATTCATTGAATTCTTAATATCAAAGGCCCCTTAAGCATACACATGTTTCTTAATAAATGGATTTCCCTATCTTGATCGTAGCTCTCTAGGGAATAAATGAAGTTGAGAATTATAAAACAAATCTTTTTTACCAGTATCAATTTTTTGACAATTTTCACAAGCTTTGCAGAATGTATGCGTGTCTTTGAACATGGTGAGCCAATAAAATCCATTTTGTAAGATTTTTACAGTTGTCTTTCTTGATGAGAAATGACTCCCATATGCTTCAGAATGACAATGTTTAATGACACTACTTACCTCATTGTTGGGAATGAATCTTTGAAACATTTGATCAGGACAATATTTGAATAAGTTAGGGTCATCCCAACAAAAGTTCTTCACTTCGTTCAAAAATGTTTCCTTATCCTAGGTACTTCAATCAGCTAGCAAATCTCATAAAGCAAAAAAAATTGATATTTTTATCATACCAAGGCATTGAACTAAGAGAAAGTAAGGATTCGTTAGGAAAGTAATCATCGATTGGTGTGATGTCAGATGTCGAATTTGTTGTCACTTTTGACAAAAGATCCGCATCAAAATTTTCGGTGTGTTTTTCATCCATGATTTCTTCCTCAGAATAAATCATTTGCAAATCTTCATATTCATCCAACTTATTTTCACTTAAAGTAGATTCAAGTCGATCATAAACTAATTCGTCAATATGGTCTACTTCTTGTAAATCATTATCATCTCCAGGTTGCTTGCAAATGTTGAAAATATTCATCTCCAATGTCATGTTTCCAAATGATAGCTTCATCAGTCCATTCCTACAATTAATCAATGCGTTAGAGGTTGCAAGAAACGGACGTCCTAAAATAACAGGAAATGAATTACATGCTTCAACAGGTTCTGTGTCCAAGACAATAAAATCCAGTTGCAAGAAACGGACGTCTTAAAATAACAGGAAATGAATTACATGCTTCAACAGGTTGTGTGTCCAAGACAACAAAATCCACATGATAAATGAATTTATCGACTCGTACTAACACATCTTCAATTATTCCTCTAGGCACTTTTATAGATCTATCGGCAAGTAAAAAAGTTGGTTTTAACTCACCTAGATTGAGACTTTGAAAAATTGAATATGGAAGTAAATTCACACTAACTCCAAGATCAAGGCTCTTTCAATTTTATGTTCTCCAATAAAATAAGAAATTATAGGATAACCAGGGTCTTTATATTTCAAAGCATTATTGTTTTGAAGAATAGCACTTACTTGTTCGGCTAGAAAGGCTTTCTTTTTCACATTCAGTTTCCTCTTCACAGTGCATAGGTCTTTATATTTTAAAGCATTATTGTTCTTAAGAATGACAGTTACTTGTTTGGCTAAAAAGACTTTCTAAAAAGTACAAGAGTGTCAAAATAATAAATAACCCGGTAAGACCGGGGTCGAACCATAAGGAGGTTAATTATATAAATTATAGATAATAATAATACAATTACAATAACAATAACAATAATAATAACAACAACAACAACGACAACAACAACAACAACAACAACAACAATAATAATAATAATAGTAGTAGTGGTAATACTAATAATAATAGTAATAATAATAATAATAATAATAATAAAGAAGAAAAAGAAAAAGAAGAAGAAGAAGATGATGAGAACTTTGAGATAGAATATTAACGTAAAGATTTAACAACGATAACAAACAATGTCAAGGTTAGAGGATCCACTAATGGTATGTCAAACAAGTATAGTATAAACTCTTATTATTCAATTAGAAACCACAAATAAAGGAGGTTCCAATTAGATTATAGATTGTTAACATGATTAAACAAGTATAGTATAAACTCTTATTATTGAATTGGAAACCACACACAAAGGAGGTTCCAATCAGATTATATATTGTTAACATGATTACATTAGTCATCTTATTCGATTAATGCTAATACTTGTAAATCTCGTCAAGCATTCATGATTATAACTTATGTTAACAACAAATCAAGTTCCTTTTATAGCTCAGGTGTCGGTTATACCATACATTATGGGCTATGAAAGTGCCAAGCATTTGTTGTACCAAGTGTTATACAACATAAATCAAAATTAGTCATTTAATAAGCAAAGTATTAAAGATTGAACTAGATAACAAATACAAAACATGTTAGTATCAAACATTAAAGTCCATATTAAGTTTACACTATACTTATTCTTACACCATTAATGTAACCTTTTCATGTTAGTATCAAACATTAAAGTCCATATTAAGTTTACATTATACTTATTCTTACACCATTAGTGTAACCTTTTCACCTTGACATAATAAACTTAGTTAAGCATAAAAAAAGAAAGAAAAAAAATAAGAACATAAGTAAGATAAGAGTTAACTAAGTAAAGGAAATGAAATGAAATGCATAAACTTAATATTAATGAAAGCAAAGCATAAACATTACAAAAAATACAAAGAGAGAAAGCAAAAGCATGATCTTGATCTGGAAACCAAGATGCCTAAATGCATGGCAAATGCCTGGAACTATTGATTTGATGACTAATTGATAAGTGGGTGGCCAACTTTTGACTTGGTGACAATCCTTATCTTCTCTTGTCTACCCAAAAAGTCATTAATAACATCAAAATTGGATCCACTAAACTATTGATTTGATGACTAGTTGATGAGATAGTGACCAACTCTTGACTTGGTGACAATCCTTATCTTCTCTTGTCTGCCCAAAACGTCATTGATAACGTCAAAACTGGAGCCAATTGCAAACATGAAAGTTGTAGGCAATTGTCTCAGCTTTCTTGTGTAAAAAATTCAGCTCATTTGGACTTCTAGAACTCCAGATATGGCCAGTTATTCATAACATCAAAATTGGAGCCACTTGAAACATGAAAGTTGTAGGCAATTGTCTCAGCTTTCTTGTGTAAAAACTTCAGGTTATTTAGACATCTAGAACTCTAAATATAGGCCGAATATTGAACAGTGCTCGGGCTGGAAGACAGATTCGAACTTCTTTGTTGTTGCTACAATTTGGACTTGAAAATGGCCTTTTTAAGTCTTGGGCTTCATATGAAAGTTGTAGGCTTATGTCTTACCTTTCCGGGCTTCTTTGTTGTTGCTACAATTTGGACTTGATAATGGCCTTTTTAGATCTTGGGCTCCATATGAAAGTTGTAGGTCTATGTCTTACCTTTCCATCCATATAAAATAGACCTAAATATGAGATCTACAACTCCAAATATGACCCAATTACCAAACAGTGTTCCGGTTTGGATTGCACCGACATCTCTTTTCTAAGTTTGGCCATCTCTTTGTCCTTTCAATTTCAGTTCTTAAATTCATCAATCAATCCTTTCATTTATGTGATAGGCCTGCATTTAAAATGAACATTTATCATAAATTAAAGGTATGTTATATTATTAGATATGTTATTATAAAACATGCTTTAGTTAAAGAGTTATTGATACTTCAAGTGCGAAATGATGATATTACCACAAATTAAAGGTATCTTATATTATTAGATATATTATTATAAAACATGTTTTAGTTAAGGAGTTATTAATACTTCAAGTGCAAAATAATGACATAAAACCTTGATAAAAAATGCACTTTTAAGTACTAATCAAGCTCCCAACGATGCTTCATGTTGTTGTGCTTACCATTGTTGGTTGTCCATGTCTTTTATTGGCTAAGCTAGGTGGTTGTGCATGCCAAGGCCTTTCTGGCCATTGCTGCTAGGCTGTGCTGCCATGGTGAAAGATGCTGGTTGGCTATGGTCCTACGGCACAAGATGTCTTTTGTGATGGTTTCCTACTTTTGAATGTGCAATGCATTGTTGTGTTAATCATAAATGTTGATTTTGGTAGGCTTGATCAACTCGCCATTCTGGTATAAATTGTTTTGCATAGTGTATATGTGTTCATCTAGGAAGACCGTTCCCTAAATGTTCATCTATGTTTTTCATGCTCATTAGGTTGTACATGTTTGTGATCTTGACTCGCTGCTTTTCACGTTTAGTTTCATTTTAATTTATAAAAAAATTTACATTTGATTGAAAAAAAAAATTACAAGGTGTGGCACAAACTGCGAAGTGGTCCACACGTAACCTCCCCACACTGCAAAGCCAAATAAAACTTTGGAAGCAAGGTTGTCAAGAAAAGACAACATTAATGGCAAAAAAAAAAACTAATCTTTTTGGCCACTAATCTAACACCCTACATGGCAATGACTAACATCACCACCATAAAAAGCCAGATAAAGATGTGTTGTTTTACATGAAATAGGTCACATGCCTCCTCTTTCCATAGTTTATTCCAACAAAGCGATGCAATTCGAGTTGTCGCTATCAAGTTTTCTAGCATTGTCTAGCAGCCTTTAACCATTATTTTATACTTTTTAGCCCAACTTCGGCCACCTTGGAAGATTGATTTTGAACCCTAAATATCTTTGTAATTAATATTTTAATTTATGGTTGATTTGGGTGTATTGTGATAAATATTTTGAGATTGAATGGATTTTGATATTAATTATATATGTTTTGTATACACTTAGCAAAAATATGATTTTATAAAATTAAATATCAATTAAACACCGAAATATTTGTTTATGATTATAATAATTTAAAAAAATCAAAATAAATTATAAAAGTTAATTCAAAATAAACTAAGTGTTAAAAATAAAATTAAAACAATTAGAAGAAAGATTAAAAAAAAATGTTTGCACTGTTCATACAATCAGCGCATTAGGTGTTTACCCTTTAATTCATATGAATCCCTAAATTCTATTCTTTCAGTGCTGGTAGTGATAACTGCAATAACCATAAACATCCAGCTATACAATTCCTTTCCTCTTTTTTTCTTCTTCTTTTGTGGACCGTACACCATCCTTGGCCCAACCAAAGTTTGGAAAAAAAAATAAAATAAAAATTTGGAAATACTTGGAAATTAAAGAAAAATAAAAATAAAAATAAATCTGTAGGTATGAAAGGGGAATTAAACGTAAACTTCGTTAAACTGTCAATACACTAACCACCATAATTATATGGCATATACTGCATTTCCAAGATGATAAAGATAAAAAATAAAAAAATCAACCGGCAAATTATGCCAAACCGCAAGTTCTTTGCGAAAAGCCAAGCTTACCATGAATCAATCAGCTTCTGCCATACTTTGACAAGCCGGCCAATTTGAAATGCCTTCAAATTTATTGTCCACTCTGAATTTTATTCACCCAAGTAGAGAGGGTAAAACAAAGAATTAGCCTCTAAATAAGGCAAAGGAATAGACTACAGGCAAGGATCTTAAACTCCTGGTTTATAAACTAAGTTAAATAGTCAAAATCTTCTTTGAGGGAGGGGACGTTTCTTAGTACTAGGTTCCTCCTACCTCTTGTCTTCATCAGAAATACTTCGCTGAATTTGTTCTCGCCTTTCTCTCCATTTCACTCCCCACACCTTGGCCTCTGCCACAGCACGGTCCCGATCTAAATCCTTGTCTAATATCATTTTTGTGTCACTTGGGGAGAAGTCAATCTCTGGCCATTTGGCACAGTCATTCTTTACCTTCTTTGATTCATTTTTACGAGAGAACAAGTAATCCATGGCTTGAGCCAATTCACTCGAGGAAGGGCGTGAGTTGGCATTTTCACCGAGACACATTGATGCCACTTCTAAAACCTTCTTTAAGACAGACATTGAGTACTTGCCTTCCAGCATTGGATCTGCTAATCTTGAAAAGTTGTGGTCTTTCATCAAGGGAAGCGCCTAAATTCAAAAGGAAATTTTGAATTAGAAAATCGCTATAATGAAAGATGATTAGAAAAATGTACCAATAATCCATTATGAGGAGACCAAAAAACATTCTCATACCATAACTAAAGACAATTAAGAAAAATAAGCAGGATGATGCAGACATCTAATGTTAATCAAGCATAGTGACTTGATTCAGTTAGTGTCTAATCCTCGCAAAGTTAACAAGCATACATACTGGTTTTGGCAAACTGAAAGATATGTAGAATTATAGGATGTGAATTACCCAGTTAACAAGATATTCTTGATGACCGTTAACCTCGTCTAGTGCTCTATGTCCAGTGATGAGCTCTAACAAAACAATTCCATAACTGTAGATATCAGTCTTTATGGTCAACCTTCCAGATGATGCATATTCAGGAGCACAGTAACCATAGGTACCCATGACCCGGGTGGAGACATAGGACTTATCACCAACTGGGCCAAATTTAGCAAGTCCAAAATCAGAGAGTTTTGGATTAAAACCATCCTCTAATAATATGTTAGACGCTTTCAAGTCTCTGTATATGACGGGGGGATTTGCAGAATGCAGAGAATCCAATCCTCTGGCTGCACCCGCTGCTATCTTCATTCTTGTATTCCAGTCAAGAGGCTCCATATGCGGAGTCACATCTGCACATATAACATGTCATGACTTCATGCTAAATTATTAAAGACTCGGAAACGGCAGCAGATGTTCCGCAGCATCTCTAGTTATGCAGGGTATAACATGCTATCTTTACTGCACTATTTATGGGAAATATGAGTTGCACAACATTAAGTGTACAGAAAATATCTTTTCATGCTGTTTTTGCACAACATTAAGTGTACAGAAAATATCTTTTCATGCTGTTTCACTGGCTTTCGTATGCTTGTCTTTCTTATTTCTAGAAGGAAGAAGAGAAAACCAAAGCAAACCAGATATAATGGACAGTAAAATGAAGCAGAATCATCATCCTTTAGATTCACTGTACAAAGCTCACTGACAAACATGAAATGTTGTGACATGAATTCCAACTTGTCTACTCTTGTAACTTTCAAAATTATAAATTTCCCTTGGTTAAATAAAGAGATATCTTCATGTATTTAACCTTGTTGTAAGATAGACACTAACCAACGACAATTTCATTTTTTCAGATCAGGTAATTTAATCACTCAAATGAATTCTACTGTGAATTTTGTGTTTCAAATGAGAAATTTGTAGGTCCTTCCATGAAAGAAGTTCCATCATAAGCTGTCTTGAATTGTTTTCCTTTGCAAAGTCTAGGTACTCCAGGGTGCTTCAAATGACGTTATAGTAAAACCATATATTATGTTATAAGGAAGGAAGCAGAGAGATTGAAGATATACCAAAAAGGTGATCTTCCAAGGAACCCAAAGGCATGTATTCATAGACAAGAAGACGATGGTCTCCTTCGGCACAAAAACCAATCAAGTTGACAAGGTTAGGGTGATGCAGTAGGGAGAGCATGAGAACCTCCACCAGAAACTCCTTGTCGCCTTGGATACCTGATGGATCTAGCTGTTTAACAGCTACAACCTGCTACAACCGTATTAGGTGTGATCCAGGAAAAAAGAGACTAGTCAAAACAAATTCAAAAGAATTAACACGAGAAAAATATTGGGAGCAAATGAGAAAAGAAACTAAAATAGCCTCTGTTTGTACCAGAATGGGGGGAGAAAATCAAAAGTATATTGGGCAAATCGAATTTACCTGACCAGTGCTTTCTAATTTTCCTTTAAATACAGCACCAAATCCACCTCTTCCAATTAAAGATTCAGACCTAAAATTGTTTGTTGCAAATGAAAGTTCTTCATAGGTGAATGTCGCAGAGAAATGAGCACTGGGTCCATCTTTTACAACAGCTGATTTAAATCTGGAATCAACACTCTTTTTCGATACTGTTCCCAATCTTTGTTCTGTGTCGATTTTAGTAAAAAAAGATCAAACTTTTGAAGGGAACATGTTAGAAAGAAGAAGTGCGCTGTGCGAAATTCCAGAGGAGCAAATTATGTGTTTAACCATCTCAACCTACAGCAGATTACCAATAAGCGGTGGCTCTTTGAAAGCTCACTACAGAAGCAATGTGAATCAAGTACATTCCAATCCTAATTTTACTTTCATTCCACTTTAAAAGATATTTCCAGTCTCCATAACAAATCGTGCATGTATCCTGTGTAATATTTTTGCCAAAATGGATTTCCTAGAAAAAGGCATGCACTAAGATTTGAGGAAAAATCCCACAACTGCAATTACTGATTAAAGTTGTAAAGCACCTGCCAAACTAACAGCTTTAGAGAAGGATGAGCTTCAGTGCTAAACCAAATCACTAAAGGGATTTTCATTTTAAGTTTATTGCATCTCTTGTAAATCACATCAAAAGATTTCATTGAAGATTTTCCGATGAATAAGAGAAAAGTTTCTGTAAGGTGCAAACAAATGTAAAAGAAGAAAAGAGACATAAATGAAAGCAAAAACAATTTCCTGGTATATGCAGACTCTTCTGGTCATTGGAAGAGAAATGTATTACTAACACTTGTTACAATGGTTGCTGAACTAGCGTTGTTCATGTATATCAAACAATCTACTTAACATATGAAAAAGGCATGGTATTTCTCTATAAAAAATTTTGCCTCTAAAGATGAGACGGCAAGGCAAGTTTTCAACACCATGGAATAATCCGTGCTCCCTTTATCAGATTAACAAGTTCAGTTGATGTGCTAAAGTATAACCAACGGAAAATTTCACTTCTTATAGAAATTTCTGGTTAGCAGATAACATTGCCTTGAAAAATGACTAATATTTTTCAACTGTGAAATTGAAACTTGCAATTATGTGATCCATGTTATCATGCATTTGATGTAGAAATATGCAATTATGTGATCCATGTTATCATGCATTTGATGTAGAAATATGCAATTATGTGATCCATGTTATCATGCATTTGATGTAGAAATATGCAATTATGTGATCCATGTTATCATGCATTTGATTTAGAAATATTTAGCATTCTCTTGCCTTCAGATATAGCATTTACATAAATTTCAGACAATCTGGAAAGCACATAAATTCAAATTAGTACTCTAGATGAATCAAAATTCAAATTATCACAACAACTATAATTATATTTATCAGTAGACAATAAAGAGCACTAAGGAGCAAAACACGGTTGCAAGATGAAGTTGCTACTACATCCAATAACATAAATCACTTGCTGAAATTGGTAGACTAAGGCAAACTAAGATAACATGAAAGACATAACTCTTAAAACTATCAAATTCTCAGAGATCCACTCATCCCCAATCCGCATTGTGTTTGTGAAACAATTTCCATGCATAATCAAGATGGGGTTTGAAATTTGGTTATTCCCATAACCATGATGCATGCCTATCAAATCAAGAACCGTAAAACTATGTAATCAAAAAAATTATAGACACGAAAAAAAAAAACAAAATGAAAGAAAAAGAAACACCATTTAGAGGTTACACCGTAGAATACATGGTTATCAGAGAAAACTCACCATAAGATGGCTGTTTCTTGATATGATCGCTTTTCACCTTCTTGCTTTTAGAAAAACCGAAACAAGGGCAAAAACCCATTTCCAGAAAAACAAAACCACAATGTGATTTTCTAATAATTAGTGAACTTGACAATGGCTTATATTCTAAAAAGAAATGCAGAAGATGAGAGTTGTTCCGTTGGGAAATAAAAGCCAAAAAGAAAAGAACGAAGAGGACTTTTTTGGGGGGTTCAGGTTCAGATTATTAATTCTACACGCTTTCCTAGAAAAATACATAAATAAAAAAAATAAAGGAAATAAAAAACAGCAACCCCCTAAAGTACAACCGTACACGGTTGTTGTTTTCAATAGAATCTAGGTGCTGTCGTTAACTTCGCTGTGACGTCAGAGAATTGGAATTGATCATTTCGTAACATTAATAAATTATATGAAATAATTTTGACAGGTTTCGTGGATAATTTGGAAGTGAATGAATATCATAACATTCAATTCTGCCATGATTGAAAATTCCATACACTGTTTTTTTTTCCTATGTCACTGTTAATTTGATGTCTTGAAAATAAACCAACATCACCATTGGGTTGCTGAACTTCAACATGCTTAATCACGCAGGCATATATGAATTTTTTCCTCTAAAAAATAGGTTTGTTTTTTAAAATATAAAAGAAAAGTGATAGATATAGTTTTTTTATTTTTATTTATACATAATAATTTAATTGATTAGATTTTAAAATAATTATAAATTTTTCTAATTATTGATATGCTTGTTTTCATGATATACCAAAACTTATAATATTTATGTAACAAGTTATTTAATTTGTGGATAATGATTAATTAAGATGTTCAATAAAACAATTTTGTTCTTCTTATTTTCGGAAGCACCAAATTAATGATAAAAATCTAAGTGCTTGCAAAAACAATTCAAATTGAGAGATTTAAAAATTCTTTGATTATAAAGTTAATAACTTTACAAGAAAGATAATAAATAACTTAAAAAAATATTAAATTCTAAGAATAGATTGTGTTTGTTATTATATTGTAGGATGATTAATACTCTAACATATATGCAAGCTATTAATAATAAAAAATGGTTTTAAACCCCTGGATGATTTAAGAAGTATCTATATCCATTGAACCTTGTTATTTTTAGACAAATAATTGACCGGCAAATCCCTTACTTTTAGTAACATTAATAAGGGATACATGTCCCTTACATATCATAAATAATATGGTAAGTGTGGTAGGTCCCTTAACAAACCTTTTATATATGCAAGGAGATCGTTACCTTTGACACGAATAATTTATATAATTGTTCTAGAGATAGGATTCATTAGATACTCAAAACCTATGATGTAACCAAATAAAAAAAAAGTATGAAGGTTTATTAACATGATCAAAAGATTGATGTCTTCTTCCAAGTACAGGAGTTTTGAAGTAATAAATAACCCTACAAGACCAGAATCAAACTACCAGGAAATTAACTATATAAATTATAAACAAGAACAACAACAGTAATAATAATAATAATAATAATAATAATAATAATAATAATAATAATAAGTGAAAGAGAACTTTGAGATTATAAGATTAATGTAAGGATTAAAAATGATAAAAACAAATGTCAAGATTAGAGGATCCACTGATGGTATTTCAAACAAGTATAATATAAATTTTTTTATTACTCAACTGGAAGCCACATGCAAAGGAGGTTCCAGTCGGATTATAAATGGTTAGCATAATCAAATTAGTTATCTTATTCGAATAATGCTAATACTTGTAAATGTTGATAGGGATTTATGATTATAACTTATGTTAATAACAAATCAAGTTCCTTTCATAGCACAAGTGTCGGTTATACCATACGGTTAGGTTATGAAAGTGCTAAGTATTTGTTTTACTAAATATTATACAATATAAATCTAGATTAACCATTTAACAAGTAAAGTATTAAGAGTGAACAAGATAACAAATACAAAATATGTTAGTATCAAACATCAAAATCCATGTTGAGTTTACACTATACTTATTCTTACACCATTAGTGTAACATTTTTACCTTGACATAATAAACTTAACTAATTGTAATGAAAGAAGAGAAATATAAATAAACAAGAAAATAACATAAATAAGATAAAAGTTAACTAAGTAAAGGAAATGAAATGAAAAGCATAAATAAGAGAATAATGAAAGCAAAACTTAAACATTACAAAAATATAAAGAGAATAAGCAAGAATATGATCTTAATCTAAAAACCAAGAAGCCTAAATGCATGGAAAATGCCTCCTTTTATAGGCTAAAATTTAAAACTATTGATTTGATGACTAATTGTTGAGTAGGTGGCCAACTCTTAACTTAGTGACAATCCTTATATTCTTATCTGAATAAAACATTATTGTTAACGCCAGAATTCGAACAAACTTGTATCATGAAAGTTCTAAGAAATTGTTTCAGCTTTCCAAAAAAAATTGAGGTCATTTGGATTTTTAGAACTTAAAATATGGGCTAAGCAATGAATAGTATTTGGGTTATAGGACATATTTCATCTTCTCTTTTAATGCTAAGATTTGAACTTCCAAATGGTAGAATTGAGTTTTGGATAATCATGATTTTTTAGGCCTATATCTTAACTTTCGATTCATATAAAGCATATCCAAATCCAAGTTCTACAGCTCTAGATATGACCCAATGACTGAACAGTGTTCCAGTTTGGGCTACACTAGCATCTCTTTTCTAAGCTTAACCCTATCTTTGTCTTCTCAATTTCAGTAGTTTAACTCATCAATCAATCCTTTAATTTATGTGATAAGCTTGCATTTAAGATGAACATTTACTATGAATTGAAGGCATCTTATATTATTAGACATATTATTATAAAACGTGCTTTAGTTAAAGAGTTATTGATACTTCAAGTACAAAATGATGATATAAAACCTTACTAGTCCCTAATGATCAAAACATTAAAATAGAAAAATAATTTGTAAGTTCCACAAAATAAAGCATTCATCATTCAACTTCTATTAATCTATTCAGATAAACAAACTCTTATTAAATTTATATATCTGCTCAGTACCTCTTTACCAAGATATTAATAAACCTTTCTTTTGAGCTTAATATATCAATACATAGTTATGAGGATTTACTTGGATGAAAACATAATTTTGTTCTAATTAACACAACTAAATGTTTGATGTCTTCTCTCAAGTGCAGGAGTGTCGAAGTAATAGATAACTTAGCAAGACCGGGGTTGAATCACAATAAGGTTAATTGTATAAATTATAAACAATAATAGTAATAGTAATGGTAATAATAATAATAGTAATACTAGTAATAGTAATAGTACTAGTAGTAGTAGTAGTAGTAGTAGTAGTAGTAGTAGTAATAAATAAGAAATTGATGAGAACTTTGAGATAGAAGATCAATGTGAGGATTAAATAATAATAACAATAAATATCAAGGTTAGAGGATCCACTAATGGTATTTCAAATAAGTATAGTATAAACTCTTATTACTTAACTAGAAACCACACACTAAAGAGGTTCTAATTGGATTATAAATTATTAACATGATTATATTAGTTATCGAATAATTCGAATACTTGTCAATGTTGTTAGGTATTCATGAATATAACTTATGTTAATAACAAATCAAGTTTTTTTCATAGCACAGGTGTCAGTTATCCTATACTGTTTGGGCTATGAAAGTGCCAAGTATTTGTTATACTAAGAGTTATTCAATATAAATCTAGATTAACCATTTAACAAGTATTAAAAGTGAACAAGATAACAAATACAAAACATGTCAATATCAAACATTAAGGTCCATGTTGAGTTTACACTATACATATTCTTATACCATTAGGGTAACCTTTTCACCCTGACATAATAAACTTAGCTAATCATAATGAAAGAGAGAAACATAAATAAACAAGATAAGAACATAAATAACATAAAAGTTAATTAAGTAAAGGAAAGGAAATGAAAGATGTAAATTAAGCATTACAAAAATAAAAAGATAGAAAACAAGAGCATGATCTTGATCTAGAAACCAATATGCCTAAATGCATGATAAATACCTCCTTTCATAAGCCAAAATTAGGAACTATTAATTTGATCACTAATTAATGAGTGGGTGGCCACATCTTGACTTGGTGACAATCTTTATCTTCTTGTCTAAATAAAACGTCATTGATAATGTCAAATTTGAACCAGACTTCCATCAAAGTTCTAGAAAATTATCTCAACTTTCCAGAAAAAAAAATTGAGGTCATTTAGACTCCCAGAACTTGAGAGATGGGCTAAACATTAAACATTGTCTGGGCTGCAGGATAGATTCGGACTTCTATGTTGTTGGTAAGATTTGGATGACCAAACAATATAATTGAGTCTTGATTTCCATATGAAAGTTTTAAGCCTATGTCTAAGCTTTTCATCCATATAAAGTAGACCTAAATCTCAGATCCACAGCTCTAGATATGACCCAATTACCGAACAATATTCCAATTTGGACTAGACCAGTATCTTTTTTCTAAGTTTGCCCTCTCTTTATCATTTCAATTTCAATACTTCAACTCATCAATCAATCCTTTCATTTATGTGAGAGGCCTGTATTTATAATGAACATTTACCATAAATTAAAGATACCTTATGGTATCAAATTTGTTATTATAAAACATATTGTAGTTAAAGAGTTATTGATACTTCAAGTACAAAATGATGATATAAAACCTTGATAAATGATTAGTACTTAAAAGTGCATTTTTATTAAGGTTTTATATCATCATTTTGCACTTGAAGTATCAATAACTCCTTAACTAAAGTATGTTTTATAATAACATGTCTAATAATATAAGATACCTTTAATTAATGGTAAATGTTCATTTTAAATGTAGGCCTATCACATAAATAAAAGAATTGATTGATGAATATAAGAACTGAAATTGAAAGGAAAAGGAGATGGCCACACTTAGAAAAGAGATACTGGTGTAGTCCAAACCAGAACACTATTCTGTAATTGGATCATATCTGGAGCTGTAAATCTAGGATTTATGTCTACTTTATATGGCTGGAAAGGTAAGACATAGGCCTACAACTTTTATATAGAGCCCAAGACTTTAAAAGGCCATTTTCAAGCCCAAATTATAGCAACAATAAAGAAGTCTGAATCTGTCCTAC